GGTACCAGCGCGAGTTGCCCATTTGGAACCAAGAGACGCATAGCGTGAGCACCATTCCACGTTCTCGTTTCTGCGCCGAAGAAAGTCTCTGCCGAAGCCGGAGCTGGTGCCGCTGGTGCCGCCGGTGCCGGAGCCAGGGCCGGAGCCTGAGACAGAGACAGAGACGGACACGAGGCCAGAGCCGGAGCCGCAACAGCTGCCATTATTTTTATCGGTTGCATCAATCATGTAATGTCTAGGAGCACCTTCAGTTGAGTCATAATCGCAATTCATGACGGTTTTCGACTTATTCCTCGTGGATAAGTCACAAGAGTCATATACTCTATGAGCAGCTCTTTCGCTCGACAACGCAGCGGCCTTCAGCGATGACGAGCTTCTTGAAAGCGGCGTGCAAAGCGAGTATGAAAAAGGGCTGAACTGGCGCCGGTCATTATGTTTGGATGAGCATGAAATGCTGTAGAGCTGCTGCGACAGAGGCCGTGAACTGATCTGACATCTCTGGGCGGTTGGCGAACACGACGTCGACGAAGTCCGATCTCGACCGACAAGCGACTTCAGGCGTCGTACGTCGTACGACGACGAGTTCACGGGGCTTTTTGGAACGAACGACAACGACGCCCGACTGGGTGGTCGGTACGGAGTAATGTCACAGGTGGTTTTCAGACTTCTGTTAGTATCGACTGACGACTTCCTTCCGTACAGGTGATTGTTTAAGTTGTTAATCAGGTTCCACTTGTGTTGCAAGAAGTCAACGTCGGTGAACGATCGACGATTCTGGTACCCTAGCCTGTTCGATGGTATGCTCCGGTACTCCCCGCTAATGCCTAAGCGTTGCTTGCTGCCGGCACTGCTATAAAGATGATTTGTCGAAACAGAGGGATCTTTGTATGTTCTTGAATAAGTGTATGGAAACGACGACGAACGGATCGGCGAGGAATTAGAGTAGTTCAGAGAAATGATCCGAGAATCGCGGCAAACATCACCGCTCATTTCTAAAATAGGAAGCATGAATATTTTATCGCAGACAAGTTTTGACTGAACGTAGTTTTCTATTTTGAATGTCTGAATGTTGTCTGTGCCTCGGAATAACCATGTAAAATTAGATCATTTGGAGTATGAACCTCGCAATACTAGAATCGCTTTTTCGCTGTATACAGCGCAGTAGAAGATAGTTCCTTGCCAAAATGCCTTCTGTTGATTCAGTAGTGACACAAAACTGGGCTAACGTTAAAATTCGCATTACCTGCATTTATAGGGAGCTGATTCAATTAGTGACAGATTGTTGTTCAACAAAACGCATATCTTCCATTCATTAATTTTCAGCCATGTCAAGACCGGATTCGACTTCTAGGGGTTAGCTAATCAGAAATAATCGGGAAACAATCAATCTATTGATCGTTTTTGACATGTTGTTTCTCAAAGAATTAAACAAACCACAAATAATACAAGCTGCATGTACTGCACTAGGAATGTCCCTTAGGATGTTTATATCAGTATTAATACGGTAAAATAATGCTTTCGGGTTAAAAAGCAGTATTATCAACGGTCATCAAGCAGATATGACAAACCAGAGACGTTCTGCTAATGCAAACGATTTAAGGTGATGTCTTTCTCACATTTTCAGTGGTGCTGCCAGCGTGCATTTTGTATCAATAACACTTTCGAGTTTGGGTACAGACGAGCTTGGTCCATTCACACTTAGCAGTACAATGAACACATTTTTTTACCCACAACTTCCAATTTGAATGCAGACGTGCCTGGCTTTTACCCTGTTCATTAATGAACCATTACATCACGCACTATCGACTCTCAAATGACAAGGAGCCATAATTTGCTTCAATGGTTCACTAGGCGTCTAGAAGCAAAGGAACAATTCAAGGTTGCTTTAAAACTGGCTATAATATACATCGTGATTTTATGGCACTGTTGATGTAAACCAGAATTATTCCAGCATTTTTCTAAAACTGGGTTATGATGCACTGTTGCCCCTGAACAAGGTAGATGTCAACAATACCAACTTTCTCATGGTTTACAATCAAGCTTGACGATCCAAGATTCGATCTCTGGCGAAAGCTTAAAATTTTTTACTCTCGCTTTCATTAGTTGGCTCGCTGCTGCGTATTTCACTCAGAGAACTGATCTGCCAAATAGGCACAATATTTTCGTTGAATG